CGGGCGCCACTTTCAAATACTGCATTTTTCAGTTCTGCCCTCGGGGCCTTTGCAGAAATGCCCCTGGTACCGTACGTGTCACCGGTACTTATGCCGGCTCCCCGTACGGTACGGGGACCAGTCTCGTACCAGTTCTCTGCTGCTGTACTCGTACTCAGTGTGACTTGCTGTTTCGGCATTCGGAATCCAAGACTTCGACTTTGTGCCTTGCCACGGTGTCTGCGTCCGATCCTCAGTCCCAGTCAGTTGTGTCRAGTGAGTGAGTGTGTGTGTGTGCTCTCACTCTCTCCCTCTCTCTCCTCTCTCCCTCGGCTCACCCTCAGCCTCACGCTCGTTACAATTGCATTGGTTTTCTCTTTCTCTTGTATTCTCATGCACTAAGTGGATTGGTAGGTGGGAGCCTACACACTATGGCGCTTGTTTTTTGGGATTATGCGAATTGAGTACCCTCGACCGATTCTGGTGTGGTTGGTTGAATCTTGGCTCTCTCTTTTGTATTTGCAATATAATGATTGCATTGGTTGTCTCTTTCTCTTGTATTCTCATGCATTACCTGGATGTGCTGCTCAGTCTATCTCTCGTATTTTCAAAATTTTATTTGAACCATTTCTCGATTTATGCGTGTGACCGTTGCACAGGGGCCATGCTAATCTTTGCTGTGTCCTTCCAATTTCAATGATGTCTCAAAAGACCGGCTCTCGTATGCTGGCTTTTGCCATGTCTTGAATTTTCTTCCTATCCTGTGGGTACGTTGACACTTCTGTGCCTGACTGTCCGATTGATGTCAGCCTTGTCAGCCTTGACGCTTTCTCCTCATTTCTAACATCTTGTTGTCCATTCACTTTTATGGTATGCTAGGTTTCGCCTTTTTTATTTTCATTTTTTTTATTCCCTATTTTTGTACAAGGGTGCTCAGCTTGAGGTTTCACTGTCCAACTGATCGGCCTCCATAATTCAAAATGATTTTGTTTAATGTAGTTGCATATGGATTGGAATTCAGGTCTGTGTTTCAGGAGTTCGTGGGTGTATCAATTGAGCTAGGCCTGTTGGTTGGTTTGTTATTTCTTATGGTCTCTTGCAATTCACTTTGTCGGTCTGTTGAAGTTCCTGTACCTGCTGGTGGGTCTGATTGGTTCTGAGTGCAGCCAATGGGGTCATGATTTTCGACCAGATTACAAGGAGCTGGGTATTCTGAAACAGCGTTTTCCCCACGTGCCGCTTATGGCCTTGACTGCAACTGCAACACATGCTGTTCGCCAGGTATGTATAGTTTGTCACAGCCCCTAGTTTCTTGTCCTTTTCTTTCTTTTTTTCCTTCAGAAAAGGGTGTTGACCCTCAGATATCATCATCGAACAGACCGGCCCTGGGTAATTGAGAATTGTAGTATTTTACTTGTCCGCTTCCAGCAGAGTTCGAACTCAGGTCTGTATTTCAACAGTTCAGGGGTGTACCAACTGAGCTAGGCCAGCTTTCCTTTTCTTCAATTCTGCCTATAGTTCATCAGGCGGTTCCCTACAACGGTATATAATTCTTTTGTCAATTTCTCACTGTTGATCTGTTCCTGTTAATTATCATTTTTCTCCCAGCCTCGTGTAAACGAGCGGAGTCCAGATGTGTTCGTGTTTGACACGAGATGGCCATTTTCAGATTTTGTTTGAATGCTCTAGAAGTTCAGAACGAAGCGACCTCTCCAATAGAACACCTATGCGATTATAATATTGGAATAGCGCGTCGACTACTGAAGACTACTCACTACTACCTCAGAGCTGCCGCTGAGAAGCCCCTAGCACTACCTCAGTGAACTGCTTGAAGAACTACCTGCCTAGAGGCCTAGTGTCCTAGGCTGAAAGGGAACACTCTGGTCGAAAGGAAACTGGTCTGGCGCCAAGAGCAGGAATCTGTTCTGGCGCCGGAAAGAACCTAGTGAAAATATGAAAAGGTCTGGCCCCCAAAGTTGCCAAAACGAAACTATGATATTCGAAATGGTTTGCGCCCAAAAACAGGAGTCTGGCAAATGATGCCAAAAGTTGGAACCTGGTAAAAAGTTGACAAAAGGAAATAGTGGCCGACTGGGAGCTACGGGTGACACAGACTCTAAACCCTACGAAAACCCCTAACCCTACTGTCGGGCCCTGCAGGGTCTGTGTGGAACTGAGTATGCCACACCCTCCCCTCCTCGAAAGACCGAGCCTACCTGCGAGGGTGAAGCTGTCTATTGGAGAGAGGGACCAAAGTCCGGGTGGGAGGGGCAGGTTGTGAAGCCTCCTTGGCTACCGTCTTCCCCCGAACATAAGGCATATGCGTTGTAAACAAATACAATGCATACTGTGCGTTGTATTTTGTTTACAACGCATATGTGTTATGTTCGAGTGAACGAGACCAACTTTGCCTGCCCAAGGGTGTCGGGTCCAGGCTGAGTAGCCTCAGTTCTGGACCACGGCTGGGGGCCTCAGAGGAGTCAGAGCCTTGGCAAAAGGTAAAAGTAAAGTAGCGACGTACCTTTCCATGTTCTGGGTCAAGTTTCATTCCTTTGCCCTACTTGGGCCCTTGCTCCACTCCTCAGCAAATGTGCAAAATGCGAATGAATCTTCCACTGGACCGTGGACAAATACAAACCCCTTTCTTTTTTGTCTCCATGACCTCGGTAGTGCAGCGAGACCTTGGTGAGTGGCTTTCTTATTTTTCCACTTTCTTGGCCGCGCCACATTCTTGGCTGTCAGAAGCGCCTTCGCGC